ACATAGCAGGCCCCTCATGCTCATTTCATCTCAGGTTTACGGCTCAGCATGAAACCAAGTACAAGAGTAAGTTGCTTTAAAATTATTTGAAGAAAAGCATTAAGTATTGATGAACATGGCAGTTGTTGTGACAGTGGCATGCTAGGATGGGCTTCTGGAAACACTGGTCTCAATAGTGTTCAAGGGGCCAGGTGGTGGCACAGTGGCAATGCAACTGGATGCACGTGGGAAAGGTCCTGGGTTCTTGTCCCAGGACCTCTTGAGCATGCCAGGCATGCATACATGCTTGTGACCCAGGCTGTCTGAGACCGAGGTAGGCATCAGGAATTGGGCAGCAGATTTGCCGAGTGGTCCTGGCTCAGGACTCCTCATGGGGCATGAACACCCTGGTGTGAGTGTCTCTTGTCTGTCTCTCTCATGGAAGACATAAATAAATAAGCTTAAAAATAGAATAGGGCCAGCAGATAGTGGGAGGTTACTGCGTTGGGCTCCCACATGGCTGACTATGGTTTGAGTCCTGGTACCCAGCAGCTTGAAAGTCATGCTGGGTTGGTATAATGGTTATGTCACTAGACTCCCACATGGCCAACCACAGTTCAAATCCAGGACCTGACGGCCGGAAACTCCCACCAGGCATGTGTGCGTGCATGTACAAAATCCCGAGAGGAGAAGGCATGGCCATCCTCCTGGGGAGTGATTTCTTGCTTTCTGTCTCTCTGTCTCTCCAGTGCGTGCACTCGCCCTACAACAACAACAAAAAAACCTCTCTTAAAAAAAAGAAAAGAAAATCATGCTGGGTGCATGTGTATGTGTGCCCAAAATCTCAAGGGGAGAATGGAGTAGAAGGAATTGTACCATAGGGGGCCAGCAGGTGGTGTGGTGGTTAAGGTGCTGGACATTCCCACATGGCCGAGCACGGTTCGAGTCCTGGACCTGGTGGCTTGCTTTCTCACTTTACCTCTCTCTCTTTGTGTGTCTCTCTCTGGTCAAATTAAAAAAATAAATGAGTGGATAAATAAATAAATAATTTTTTAAAAAAGAAGGAATTGTACCATGAACAGTGATTTCTCACTCTCTCCCTCTGGTGAATACACACGCTCTATAGTTAAAAACTAAAACTAAAATAAAGTAGAAGTCTTTCAAGGCAGCTCCACCACCCTCATTTTCTCCCCTGGATCCCTGCAGCAGCCTGTCAGTTGTCCACCACCCTGTGCCTGCCCTTCTGTAGTGGAAGCCCTGTCTAGCTTCAGAACTTTCTAGTGGCCTTTTCCCAAACCATGACCCGCAACAAAAGTGTTCTATAATCAAATAAGAATAGTATATTGGTTATTTATTTCTACATAAAAAAAAGTTCCAAAATTAGCAGCTTCAAACAACAAACACTTATTATACACGGTTTCTGAGCATTAGAAATTGGGGAATAGCTTCGCTGAGCAGTTCTGGCTCAGGACCTCTCGTGAGGCTGCAGTCAAGACAGTGCTTAGGGCCACAGTCATTTGAAGGTTTGACTGAGACTCACAGATCTGCTTCCAAGGTAGCTCAACTGGCAAGTCAAGGCTGGCTCTTGGCCAGAGGCCTCGTTTCTTCTCCACGTGACCCTCTCCATAGGCTGCTTGAGTGTCCTCACAACATGGTGACTGACTTACCCCAGAGCAAATGATCCAAGAGAGAACAAGGCAGATGCTGCAATGCTTTTTTGTTTGTTTGTTTGTTTTTTAGGTTTTTACCACAGGGCATGTGTACTGGCTAGAGAGAGACAGAGAGAGGAAATGTGAGAAATCACCCCCCAGGAGAGAAGAATATAGAGAAAGATAGCAAGAGAACAAATAGAGAGGCATGACATTAGTGGGACACAGATATGGCTTATTACCTGTTGATGATGACGTGTGTAGTATTCTCAACTGGATCAGTCTGAGAAGTATTTCATGATGGGTAAAGTCTTTTTACAAGCAAAATGAGAAATAATGATTGACTGGTTAAAAAAATAATTGGAATAATAATAATAATGATCAGGAAAAACAATGAAAAGATATTGAATGATGAAGTGGGGATGTTAATGTCTCTGTACTGACTGACATGCATGGCATTCCCCTTTGAAAAAGCAATGTAATGCACTAAAGTTATATGTGATTCAATGTAATATAGACAAGATTATGATGATTAAAAAAAAAAAGAAAAGAAATCACCCTCTAGGGGGGATAGCCATGCCACAATCTCTTCCCCTCCAATCTCTTCGGATTTTGGATGTGCACACACATATACATGCCTGGCGTGATTTTTAGCTCACTGGATCCAGAACTTGAACAATGGTCGGTCATGCGGGAGTCGATGATGCCACCTGCTGACTGTCGTTTATGACCTAATCTCAGAAGTCATGTGCTATCACATCTGCCATGTGCCATTGCCACGCGGACAGTCCTGACGCAGGGTGAGATAGAATTCCACAGGGCACGAGTACCAGGAGGCAGGAATCACTGGGAACCACCCAGGAGGCTTGTCCTCACATCTGGGGAGCATCACCTGCGCTGACTCAATCAGTACCCACTTCTGGAGAGTGTTCCAGGACCTCCCAAATGTCTGCCTGTATCCCATGAAACCACATTGCCCAGCAGTACGGACACGGCACTTTTTTTTTTTTTTTAGAGGTTTTTGCCTTAGGTGTGTACGCATGCTAGAAAGAGAGAGACAGACAGACACAGTGGGAGGGAACGTGGGAAATCACCCCACAGGGGGATGGCCATACCACAATCTCTTCTTCATTCTCCTCTTGGGATCTTGGGCACGCATGCACGCACGCACATGCACCCACCGTGATTTTCAAGCCACTGGGTTCAGGACTCAAACCAGGGAAGATCTGGAGTCATGAGAGATCTAAGGATCAGCTTTGGAAGATGCTGGTTCAGAGAAGAAAGTCTAAACTCCTTCCCCTGTGTTTCTGCGCAGTCTGCCATGAGCTTCCAGGACAAACTTTTCTCACTTCACTTTTTTAAATCTGTGGTCTAGTGACACTAACTCTCACACATAATTCCTTCCTTCCTTCCTTCCTTCCTTCCTTCCTTCCCTTTCTTCTTCTTCTTCCTCCTCCTTCTCCTCCTCCTTCTTCTTCGGCAGAGTCTCTGTCACAATCCTCCTGCTTTAGCCTCCCAGCTGGGATTATAGGTGTGTGCCGCCGCCCTTGGCTCTTGTTCAGACAGTGTCTTGTTATGTTGCCTGAGGCCAACCTTGAACTCACGATCCTCCTGCCTTAACCCCCCAAGTTGCTGAGATTACCAAACACATGCCACCAATTCCAGCCTTTAGGATGGACTGGGAATTGAACCCAGGTCTTCCATGCTGTCCTAACCTATGGAGCAGAGCATCTTAGCAGCCCGTGCCTCCACGGTGTCCACAACTGGCCCCCATATGCAGCCATTATGCTGTTTGTTCTGCCTTTTCACCTCCTCTACCTATTGAGTTCCCATTTATTTCTCTAAGAGTAGGGCCAAAACCACCATCTCTCATAAAAGAATTCATTTTCTCTCCCTCTGCTTCCCTAGATTTTTACATAGTGCATGTCTTTGGGGTCATCTGCCACTCTGTCTTGTATCCCAGCTTTCATATCTGTCTGTCTATTTTCTGGGCAGGTGACTCCAGCCCCACGTGTTGCCCTATGCCTGGTCTTGACACATCATTGGCATTCAGGAAATAGTCTGTGAAAAGGGCCTTGGTTCTTCTCCTCTTCCTGCTCTCACCTTGGCCTTGGTTCTGGGAATGGTTTCTGTTGAGCAAGAAGAAAGGCCTCGGCAAGGCCAGGTTAGAAGGTCCTCTCACAGGGCCAGCAGGAGGAGTGGTGGTTGGGGCGCTGGACTCCCACATCGCCAACTGTGGTTCAAGTTCTGGACCAGGTGATTTGTTTTCTCACTTTCTCTCTGGTGAGTGCACATGTTCTATAGCAAATTTAAAATAATAATAATGGGACCGGAAGATGGTGTAATGGTTACATAACTGGACTCCCATTTAGTTGACTACAGTTCGAGTCCCGGACCTGGTGGCTTAAACTCTTGCTGGGCATGTGTGCATGCATGCCCAAAATCCCAAGAGACTGGAGGAGAAGGGATTGCGGTGGGGCCATAGCCCCATGAGGGGTGATTTCTCGCTTTCTGTCTGTCTCTCCAGCGAGTGCATGTGCCCTATAACAAAAATATCTCAAATAATAATAATAATTACATATATATGTGTGTGTATATATATATATATATATATCTGCCAGGTCCAGGACTTGAACCATGGTCAAACATGCAGGAGTCCAGCACCTCAATCATCATGCCACCTGTTGGCCCCATATAAATATATACATACATACATACATATGTATATATACACATATATATTTTTTTAAGAAAGAATTAGTTCTTTAATTCCATTAAAAAAAAAAAAAAAAAAAGCTCCACCTGCCCAAAGGAGTCTATGGTGGCCATTGCCAGAGCTGGAAGCAGGTCTCTTCCCACCCACAGAGGACGTTCCCTGCCTTTGATAAGGGTCCAAGTTGGGCAGACTAGGGGCCCTGAATCAGTCTGATGTCTCTGAGGGTCTGATGGGCATCATTGTTTCACAAGCAATGCCACAGGCATATGGAAGCCTCAGCATGGGCCGGGAGTCAATGGGATATTTGTTCCAGAACCTTCCGGGTGCCCTAACGGGTGTCACAGCTGCCTCTGATCAGTGAGATGGATTGGTTTGTACATTGGATTTTGGAGATCAGCCCTCAAAATGTGGGTTCCCTGGCAGGGATGTCTGCACTGCAACACCTGCTATGCCTGTTGTTCTCCAAGGAGCAGGCTGTGGGTGGCGTCAGGGCAGGGAGGCCCCATCCGGAACCAAGATGGCCCTGGCCAGGCCTGTCCAATCTCGTTTCTTGCCCAAACTCTTGATATATCGGAACCAAACCCCAGCCAGCAGTGCTGGGGTCTTTCTTACCGGAGTGCCCTTCCGGTGGTTTTCCAGCCCCTTTCCTCCCACAGTGGCGTGGGCCTGGCACGAGCACATTTTGAGAAGCAGCCTCCCTCCAACCTCAGGAAATCCAACTTCTTCCACTTCGTGCTGGCCATGTACGACCGGCAGGGGCAGCCCGTGGAGGTGGAGCGCACAGCCTTCATCGATTTCGTGGAAAAAGACCGAGTGAGAGGCTGGAGGGCTTGACTGGGGGAGGGAGGACAGGAGGGCTTCAGGGAGGGAGCCCCCCAACCCCTAACACACACTGGACAGATAAAGGAATAGATGGTGGATGAGTGGAGAATGATGGGTGAGTGGCTGGAAGGGAGGGAAAAAGAGAGGCTTAGGGAGGAGGGAGAGGGCGGGGGTGCGGTCCCTGAGCACCTGATCATCCTCCCCTCTTGTCTCTGCAGGAACCTGGGGCTGAAAAGACCAACAATGGGATCCATTACCGCCTGCGGCTGGTATATAACAACGGTAAGCCAAAGCCACTGCCCCTGCCCCCCTTCCCCCCTGCCTCCCTTTGGGGAGAGTATGAGTGTGGTCCAGTCATCAGAGGCCACAGATGCTCCCCCCACAGCAAGCCCTCTCCACCTTCCCACCCCAGGACTTCGGACGGAACAAGACCTCTATGTGCGCCTCATCGACTCCATGTCCAAGCAGGTGAGCCAGCCCGGAGGCCGCTTAGACCGTCTCCCCCTTGTTCTGAGTGAGCATCCTCCTCCCTGTCCTGTCTCCCCGGGGCCCTTTATCCCCACCAGTCTAGCTGCCCCAGGCCCTGTATCAGCCTGCAGTGGTAGGATATGTAGATATCATCTTCTAGTCTAGAAAGACGGTATTTGTACAAAGGGACCCTGGCTTAGTGGCCCAACCCGAGACAGGCATTCAGGTGTACCCAGCCTGCTGGGGAGGTGGACAGACTGTCTGGAGAAGGGGAGGGAGGGAAGCTGGACAGGAAGATGCTCAGCAGAGATGTGGTCTCAGTTGGAATCTAGTCTGGGCCTGATCTACAGGAAGCTCTGGAGATACAATAGCGCAAGAGTTGTCCTGCCTTGGAGCAAGGAGGCCAGGATTTTGGACTCAGTATCAGCTGGTCATTGGCTGGGACCACTCCTGCAGGGACTGTGTAACATCCCAGACATTTTCAGACGAGGCAGCTCCTGTATTTTGAGAGCAGTTCTCAAGAGAAAGCTCTGAGCAGCCAACACTAGCCATGGGCTGGGGGATGGGTGCACTGGTCCAATAAAGGGGATCTGGGTGCAGCCCCATGAGCTTCCACTGCAGACCCCCCTAGCATCTTGCTGATGCAACAGTGACGGGGGAGACTCAGGGCCAGCATAAGGAACTCAGGGAAACCGAACCTGAATAAGTCCTGATGGATTCTGCCAAGGCAGAGCCTTTTCAGATTATGTCTAAAATGGGCTGGGCTGCCAGATGGATTCTTGGGCTTCCCCCACACAGGCAGGGTCTTCTGGTAGCCTCCACCCACTCTCGGGGCAGAGGAAGAAATGGTTTGTTTCAAGAAGGCCTGTGGTTGCTGTGGTGGGGGAGGCGGGCCAGGCAGAGGCAACATGGGACTGTGGGGATGAGTGTGGAAAGGGGTCAAGGAATTGCAGAGAGAGAGAGAAAGACTCCACAGTGGGGAAGGAGAGGCTCAGAGGGTCATAAACTGGGAAGCCGGGCAGAGGCAGAGTCAGACTGGGAGACTGGCACAGAGGCTGGTCCAGTAGTCCCAAGGGGAAGCTCTAGCCTGGGTGGGGAGGTGACAGGGATCAGGAAGGAGGCAGCTGTGCAGCCCCCTGCCCCTCCCTGTGTTGGCTAGCTGGCAGTGAAAGCTGAGAGGGAACTCTGACCAGAGGCAGAGGTCTGCTGGGAGCATGGGAACAGTCAGCACCGAGGAGGGTGTTCGGGGAGGGTGCTCGGGCGTGAGGAGAGGAGCATGATGCAGGGGTGGGGGATAGCTGTGTGCATACCCTGCTCCCTCTGCCTCTGGAAAGCCTGTGGTTGCTGTGTTGGGGGAGACAGGCCACCAAGCTGTCTTCCCTGTCCCTGAGCAGAGCTCACTCTGGGAAGAGCTGCCTGCAGACAAACAGAATCTGCAGACCTCATACCATTTTTGCCTACTTTGCTGATGGTCTTGCTTTGGTGCGGGGAGGGGATGTTTTCTATGTGGGGAGCCAGGCTCCACGCTCCTGTTTTGGAGCTCCTTCAGAGCAAAGCAGAGGACAGGATCTTCCCTCTGCCTGGGCTCGGGAGATGCCAGTGTAGACCCACAGGCCTGTCTCTGCTCTGCCACCTGGACTTGAGAGGAGCCTCCTTTCCCTCCAGCCTGTGCATCCTCCTCCCCCCAGGCCATCATCTACGAGGGGCAGGACAAGAACCCCGAAATGTGCCGAGTGCTGCTCACCCACGAGATCATGTGCAGGTAAAATGGGCTGGTCTGTGCACTGTGCCCTTTTGCCAAGTTGTTGCCAAGGACTCCCACCAGGCCCTGCCCACTGTGGCTGCCTTCCCCCTCGCCAACCCCTCCCAACTGTTCCCCAGGGAAGCCTGCTGGGGCAGAGAAGGAAGGAGGAGGGAGGCCCCTGGGCACAGTGCTGACTGAGGTGTGGGTCCTTGAGGCCCCATTAGCCAGACCTGTTTATGTGGCTTCTCTAAGTGTTTTGTAAGAGAGGCCTCCTGCCACTACCCAGAGACTTAACTAATAAGACTCGGGGGAGGAGCTCAGCAGTGATGTGGGGGCAGGGCCTGGGCCTGGCGGGAGCACCCCTAGGCTTCCAGGATTAGCTCAGAAGCTAGAGGGAGGAAACTTAGCTGCCTTTAGGGGAGGGGTGGAAGGACTGGGGTAGGCACCATTGCCACTCTTTGCTCTTCCCTAACCCGAGTTTGGCATTTCCAGCAAGGTCTCTGCAGGAGGTTCCAGTCACACTGGGTCTCTGCGGGCAGTTCCTAACGTGTGGGAAAGAGAACAGTGTCCAAAAATCTGCAGTAGGGACAGTGACTGCCTTCAGGGAGGGAGAGACAAGGAAAGGGCTTGAGAGGGCGTCTGGGGTGCTGGTTACAGGTATTTCTCGGCCTGGATGCTGGTTCCAAAGCCTGCTCACTTAGTGAGAAGTCAGAGCTATGGGCTTACAATATGAGTTCTTGGTAATGTATAGACTGTGCTTCCAAAAACTTGTCCAGGGGCCCAGCTGGGGGGCCTGGCTGGTGGCACACTGAATTGCAGTGCTGAAGCCATGGTGGATGGCCGTGTGGACCCCCAGGCTGACCTGAAAATGTGCTGGGCACACATGCACCCAGAATCCTGATGAGCTCGACGGCTGTGGGAAGGGGGACGTGGCATGGCCAAGGCCCTGTTGAGGGTCTCTCTCTGTCTCTGCCTGTCTCTCTCTGCTCTCTAGTGCATAAGCACCTGCTCTCTCATGCATAAAAATAAAAAAGTATACAGAGATAGGGAGTGATGCTGCGAGACCCACAGGTAGCTGCAGCCTGCCCTTTCCTGGGTCCTCTAGGAGCAAGGCGCCTTTGGACAAGAGTCTCCTGGCTAACCTTGTCCCCAGGGCTAGGACCTTCACTGTTGTCCTCCCCCTGGTCCCAAGGACTCATCCCTTTCACTCAGAGATAGGACATCAGCACCTAGCCCTGGGCCTCCGGGCCCCACCTTGCCCTCACACGTTGTAATCTCCCCTCCTTCACCTGCTCCCACCGTCCCTCCCTTCCTCCCTCCTCATCTTTCCTGCAGCCGTTGCTGTGACCGGAAGAGCTGTGGCAACCGGAATGAGACTCCCTCAGATCCCGTCATTATTGACAGGTACAGGCTGGGAAGGGGGCCTGGAGCTGCAGGGCCAGCCAGGGTGGGCTGGCTTCAAAGACCTCAGGGTGAGGGAGGAGCAGAGTTGCCCCTAGGGCACCTAGTTGGTGGCTCTGAGCACAGAGAAAAGCTGCCAGGGACTAGAAAGCGGCCAACCCTGGCTCCAGTGGAGTCCCTGATGGCAAACTCTGGTGCTTAGCTGGAGCCCAGGAAAGGCAGGGGTTGCAGAAAGTGAGTTGGAGAGTGGGTTAGAAAGGGAGGAGGTGAACTAGCACCCTGAGAGGCGTGCCTGCAGAAGCTGGCTTCTAGTCCCAGGAGATAGCTCTGGGCTATTGGACTTGACTTCCTGGGATGTCCGTTTGAAAAAATGAGAAACTATTTGAGGTGTAGCATTTTCAAGCTAATGCTCATTTACATGCATTCTCCTACCATGATTATTTTTAATTATAAGAAATGCACAGATAAGCTACTCAAAAGATAAGCATAGTAAGTAATGAAAAAGCAATGCTGCCTCACCCCACTCCTGTATATAGCATATCGCATACTGGACACCCTCTTTTGCACCTTCCTTTTTAAAGTTCATGGAAAAAAGAAACAAAGTACAAATGATTTTGGTGCAAACATTTTGAATCCATGCATGGTTTTTCAAAATAGGGACCAGCAGTTAGCGTAATGGCTATGTCGCTGGACTCCCATGTAGTTGATTGCGGTTCACGTCCCGGACCTGGTGGCTTAAAACTCACGCCGGGCACGTGTGTGTGCGTGTCCAAGATCCCGAGAGGAGAATGGAGGAGAAGGGATTGTGGCGTGGCCATGCCTCCAGGGGTGATTTCTCACTTTCTGTCTCTCTGTCTCTCTCTGTCTGTCTGGTGAGCGCCCGCACCCTATAGCGAAACAACAACAACAACAACAACAAAAAACCTCTCCAAAAAAAAAAATAGGCATTTCCTATGAATGTATCCCACATATCTTAGGTATTCCATATCAGAATTTTTTTTCTATATCAGAATTTAAGCCATTCCTTATTTTCCTTTTTTTTTTTTTTTTTTTTTTTTTGAGATTTTTTTTCTATAGGGTGCGTGCACTCGCCAGAAAGGGACCGAAAGCAAGAAATCACCTCCCAGGGGGGATGGCCATGCTGCAGTCCCTTCTCCTTCATTCTCTTCTCGGGATCTTGGGCACGCACGCACAAGCGCGCAAGTGACATGAGTTTAAGCCTCCAGGTCTGGGACTCAAACCACGGTTGACTACATGAGAGTCCAGCAACATAGCCATTATGCCAACTGCTGGTCCCAACCTTATTTTCTTTTTAATAGAGAAAACATTCACAAAGTGCAAACATTTAAGAAGTTTCGACGGGTTTACAACAAAATAGGCCCTACCTCTGCCTCCCACATGTCCATTCCCCTCCAAAGAAGTAACCATTGCCAGTTTCTTGTGGGTCCTTCATGAGATAGTCGGTGTACATACAAGAAAATACAGAAGGACCAGTAGATGGTGTAGTGATTATGTCACAGGACTCCCACGTAGTTGACGATGGTTCGAGTTCCAGACCAGCGTCTTGAAACTCATGCTGGATATGTGTACATGCATACCCAAAATCCCGAGAGACTGGAGGAGAAGGGATTACTGTGTGACCATCCTCCCAGGGGGTGATTTCTCGCTTTCTGTCTCTCTGTCTCTCTCTGTCTGGCCGGTGATCATACATGCCCTATAGCAAAAATCTCTCTAGCAAAAAAAAAAAAAAACAGGTATTCTTTTTGCACCCTTTATTTTTATAAAAGTAGTGACATACTAAACATACCTTTCAGCACCATTCTTTTTCTCTGAAAAGTATATATCTGGGAGCTGATATTAGGATACAAGTCTCTTTATTCTCTCTTTTTTGGGGTACTCTAAAATATTCCATTGTATGGACAGACCATAATTTCTTGAAATAGACTGCGATTGGTGGACATTTTGGCTGTTTTCATTCTTTTTCTGGGATTAAAAAAATGCTGCAGAGAATTACTTTGTCCATGTGTCATTTCACACATATGTAGGATATTACTAGAAGAAGAATTGCTGGGTCGAAAGATATGTGCATTCGTAATTTTCATAGTTATTGCCAATTTGCCCTCTGTAGAGGTTATACCAATTGCATTCATGCCAGCAATTTTGAGAACACCTATTCTCCACACTCTGGCCAATTAAGTATTTTGATTATCTGTTCAATAAATAATTTTTGAGCATCTCTTCTGTGCCAGAGTCTCTTCTATGCGCTATGGATTATGCAGTAGTCAAATAGACAAAAAGCCTCATGTCATGACTTGCAATCTAGTAGGTTCACTGGACTCCCACATGGCCAACCGTGGTTCAAGTCCTGGACCTGGCAGCTTGCTTTCTCACTTTCCCTCTCTCTCTCTCTCACTCTGTCCCTCTCTGGTCAAATTAAAATAAATAAAGTTAAATAAAATAATTCCTTAAAAAATTTTTTTTAAAAATAAAGTCATCAAGGAAGATTGGGGAGTGTCTAGGAAGGGGACATTGCAATTTTGGAGTTTTTAAGGCATCACTGAAAAGATGACATTTCATCCAAGACTGAAAGAAGCCAGGTATGGAACCAGTAGAAAAAATGCTCTGGACAGGAGTGTACCTGCTTTGTGTAAGGAATAGCAAGGAGGCCCAGGGGCGTGGAGCAAGGGAGACAGAGATGACATCAGAATTAATGAGTGGGAGGACTTTGTAGGCTGCAGGTAGACCGGCCTGAAGGCCAGCGTAAGGACTTCAGCTCTTATTCTGAATGACATGGAAGCCGTTATTGACAGTGGCCTGCAGAAGGCAAGAATGGATACAGAGAGAAGAGTTAGGAAGCTGTTCCAATAATCCAGGTGAGAGATGGTGGATGTCGAGACCAGGAATGTTAAAGAGAAAGTTGTAAGAGATGGTTGGTTCTGGACGTGTTTCATAGGCGGAAGCCACACAATTTGTTACGGAAGAAGAGAAAGACCAAATGACACACAGAGAAGAAACAGTTAAAGACATCGCCATTTCTGACCAGCTCAACCTAGAAGGATGAAGTCTGCTGAGAAGGGGAAGATTTAGGGAAGAGTTGCGGAAAGGAAGTGGGGGAGTTTGGTTTTAGACATGTTGTTTCAGATGCTTATGAACATCCAAGTGGGATGACAACGTGAGGATGGAGTTCAGGGAAAAGGTTCGGGGTGCAGATACAAATTTAAATGAATAAAATTATTAAGGGAATGAGCGTTAAGTTAAAAAACAAAACCAAAAAAATCCAGAAGAGGTCTAAGAACTGAATCCCGGGGTGTTCAGTATTTACAGGTCATGGAGATTGGAACCAGCAGAAAAGAGAGTAAGAAGCAGCCAGTGAAGTAGGAGGGAAATTAGGGAGTGTTTTGTCCTGGAGCCTAGATAAGAGAATGTTTTAGGTGGCAGTGGGCAACTATATCAAATGCTACTCATGGATGTGGCAAAACGACTAAGATTTGACCTTTAGGCTAACAGTGTGGATGACCCTGGTGATCTCAACAGGATCCATTTCAGTGGAGTGCGGGAGAAATCTGCATCTAAGAGTAAATGACACAGGACTGGCAGGTGGTATGGTGGTTGGGGCTCAGGACTCCCATGTGGCCAAACATAGTTCAAGTCCTGGACCTGGCAGCTTGCTTTTTCACTTTCCCTCCTTCACTGTCTCACTCTGGTCAAATGAAAAAATAATAGGGATTAGCAGATGGTATAATAGTTATATCATTGGACTCCCATGTAGTCGACCATGGTTGAACTCCCAGACCCAGTGGCTTAAACTCACACCAGGCATGTGTCCGTGTGTGCCCAAGATCCCGAGAGGAGATCGGAGGAGAAGGGATTGTGGCATGCCCATACCCCTGGGAGGTGATTTCTCACTTTCTGTTTCTCTGTATCTGTCTCTCTGGTGAGTGAGTGCAAGCACACTATAACAAAAACAAAAACAAAACAAAACAAAAACTCTCTCTTTGGACCAGCAGTTCGCGTAATAGCTATGTTGCCATGTAGTAGACTCCCATGTAGTAGAAAGCGGTTCGAGTCCTGGACCCAGTGGCTTAAACTCACACCAGGCATGTGTCCGTGTGTGCCCAAGATCCCGAGAGGAGATCGGAGGAGAAGGGATTGTGGCATGGCCATCCTCCCTGGGGAGGGGGCGATTTCTTGCTTTATGTCTCCCTCTCTCTTTGTCTTTCTGGTGAGCGCAAGTACCCTATAGCAAAAAACTCTCAAAAAACAAAAACAAAAACAAAACAAAACCAAAAACCCTCTCAAAATAAATAAATGAATAAATAAATAGATAAGTGAAACTCACACTGAGCATATGTGCATGTGTGCTCAAAATCCCTAGAGAATGAAGAAGGGGTTGCTGCATGGACATCCCCTTGGGGGGTGATTTGCTTTCTGTTTCTGTCTCTCCTGCAAGCCAACACACCCTATAATAAAAATTTTTCTAAAATTACTATTACTACTACTAATAAAATATACATATATTTTAAAAAGAGTGAAAGGGGGACCAGCAGGTGGTGTGGTGGTTAACGTGCTAGACACTCCCACATGGCTGACCTTGGTTCAAGTCCTCGACCTGGTGGCTTGCTTTCTCATTTTCTCTCTCTCTCTCTCTCTCTTACTCTGCTCCTCTCTTTAAATTTAAATAAATGAATAAATAAGTAAAGTTAAGTAAAATAATTCTTAAAAAAAGAAAAAAAGTGAATGGGGGCCAGCAGGTGGCTTGGTGGTTAAGGCACTAGACACTCCCACAGTTCAAGTCCTGAACCTGATGTCTTTCTTTCTCACTTTCCCTCTCTCTCTGTGTGTGTCTCTCTGTGGTCAAATTAAAATAAATGAATGAATAAATAAAATTAAATAAATAATATTTTTTAAATGAGTGAATGATGGAAGAGGGGTCAGAGGCAATAAAGGAACTCTTGAGTTTTGCTCTAAAGGAATCAAAGAAATGGGTCTCTTTCCACCCTACT